AAAGATCACATCACTAGCTACAGTGTACACGCAATCATTGTTTCAGGACTGACTAGGCCATGCACCTTCCAAATGGGCTGCGGCTTCCAAACAAAATGTCGCAAGGAAACAGCTGCAGCAGCAAAGGACATTCGAGACATGCAAAGTCAAGTGCACATCACTGTACCAAACAGAACTAAACGCAAAGACTGCTGAGTGAGAGAGAGCTCAGTCAGTCCTTTGAATTTCTTCCTGGCAGCGCCATTGGAACTAGGGCCATCGGACCTATCCCCATTGGCCTTCCAGGTAGCTGCGAGCAAAAAAACTTCTTAGTTAGCCCTGAACAGACCCAGATGCCTGCAACATCTGAAGAACAGTGCGGCGTACTTGGGAGGATGGGGTTCCTCCGGATGAACTGGAAGACTGCTGCGGACTCTCCTCCTCCAAGAATCCAAGCCATCCAGGATCTTGGTCGTATGGCCGAAGAACATGAGCAGAGTCCTCCAACAAGAGAAGAGAAAGAAAGAAACAACCCAAATCGCAAAGTGGAGGGAAACATCTTCTGAACACCATTTCCTTTAGGCAACTAACCCTGTCAGGCAAGCTAATGGTACCTGGTGCTGGCAAATCTCGAACCATTTGGGCAGCAAACCCCTGTAATGCTGTCATGCAATCAGGGCCCATGTTCCCAAAGCGCTTATATGTCTCATGGCAGAATCGTACTGCTTCTCCAAAAGCATTTGGATAGGCTGAAGAGCTCCCCATTGCATGCCTTTGGCCTGAGGTCCACCTTACACGCCAATGGCAATGCATTCTGGAAAAGGATGGGCTTCCTCCAGTAGTACCAATATTCACAACTTAAAGTAGTCACCACCTGACACATATTGCCAGTATTTGGGCGATATGCCCCTAGAAAAACAATCACATGAATTACAAACTAGACAAATATGATGCCATAAAGCCATTGAGGAGCCTTGCACCTTTCTTCATGAGCTGCACAGATGATCGATTGCGTGTGTCTGGCCAAGCCAGGCGATGGACCTCCTGAAGAAGTGATAGTGCAGGCCAACGCCCACGCAGCTCCAGAGGCTTCGCAGACAGCCCACCAAACGTCCTCAAGTAGGCAACAATGCGGTGTGGAGCATTTGCAATTCCAGGAACAATGAACTGCCGACCCACTTGAGCAGCAATAGCCGGGTACAGGAAGATGAGCGAATTCAACTCAGATAGGCAGATCTAGCGGGCAAGCATTTATGAAGCACAAGTACTACAGTACCCCTCCATGAAAAACTTCACGTTCTGCCGGTTGCCTTAACATTTAAAAAAGAGCTTACACTTCAAACAAGATTCAACCATTTTCTCCCAAAACACAAATTCCTCTTCACAAATAAACTGCTAGATTCTTGCTTAGATGCTGGGTTCTCAATCAGCCACGAAAGGCCCAGCCATTCACAAAGTGGCACAATCACTGTTCCAACCAGTTCTGCTGTGGCATTTCCTGTGCGGACAAAAGGCGCAGCCTCATTTCCATAGATCTTGTCCTCAGTAAGCAGGGACAACGGCCCAGGAATGACAGCCAAACTTGTCCAATCACCCTGAACCTCCTCCTGAAATCCTAAACCCCGGTGACCAGGAAAATTGCAAACAAATTCTGGTCGGTTCAAGTGGCCGGTTTTCTTCCACTTGTATGTGTGCTCACAAAACGTAGAAAAGAACTGCAGGTTGGCTCCACAACTGCGAGACCACCCCACACAGTGAAGACCAGCATCATGGCCATCTCCTTGATGCCATCCTCATGGTGGCAATTGTGCTTCGAATCCCTGCGAATGTCAAAGGTGTTGGAAGCGGCAATTGCCCCCACACCACCAAATATTTCACAGTACTCAAAGGTTTCCTGGCCGGCTTTCTTCAGCAGCTGCTCACGGTCTCGCCGACCTAGTCTAGCTAGAAGGGAAGTAACGAGAATCAACTCTACCAGCCCTCACAAATTATAAACCGCAACATCAGGCAAAGATCTCCAGGAAACTCTCCCAACCCATAGTAAGTTTCAAAGGTTGCCATGTTCCACTTCAAGAGGCCCTGCTCATGTGCAAGGAAAGGCCAAACAGTGCAAAGCCATGCTTGGATCTGAAGGAATGTCATAACTGGTGCCCGGACCATGGCAACCACTCGAAACTAAAGATCCCAGCACTAAGAGCAAAATTAAACAGCTGCCGGTGCAGCCAATCCTTGAACAAGCACTCCTATCTAGATAGGAGAGACACGGCGTGGTTTTGCTCCACATTCCTGAGATAGACACCTGACAACTGAAAGTACGCAAATCTGATAGTATGTGCACAAATCCCCCCGATATATATATACACCTTCTCTTGTTTGATTTGTCTCCCTCTACCTGAAGGAATTCAATTGTTCAATCGCTGCTTGGGTTAAGAAAGGGGCCTATATAAGAATGTTGTATATACCATAAACTGCCTTTAAACTCCTCGGTATGGCAAGAAGAAGCTGAGATTCGGGGATGGTCCGTGGATGGGGCAGGACCTGTTTGTTTGTCACCATGCGAGGGTGAGAGCCAAGGATGGACAAAAGCTATGTGGCATCTGAGACTCAGGAGGAAATGAAAGTGGGCAAGAAGCTTGGAGCGCCTAAGAAGCCTAAAAACCGATGTGTCAATTTGACAAGTTTTCAACATGGCCCCTCAGAAACCTCAATCATCGCTACATGGTTGGAATGGACTTGGACAGGGAAGAACAATTCTTAGATGCGAACCACACCCTAGTACTTGCTCCTAGTAGCGTACTTGCTCCTAGTAGTACGGCCAGGAGCCCCTAGTAGCGTCCTTCTTTGTTGCTAATGGCAAGACCAAGAATTTGCACCTCCCTTCAGGTGCGGGGCGTCCCACACTTTGTGATCCGGACCGAAGGGTCCAGGACCGTGCAAAAAGGGGAGGTTTAGACCTTAATGGTGACTCTTGATTTATAACCCCCCCCCCCTCAACAGCGAAGGCCTCCAAAATAATTTATAAGATAATCAATCAGTTGATAATTAAATAAGCATCAAATCTCAATGGAAATATCCAAAATTTTAATGGAAATCTCCATCCAAAAGCCTGTAAGATAAGCAAATCCCAGCAAACTCAAAAGGGAAAAAGTAAACTATAACAATAAAAACAAATCCCACCCCCAAAAAAGACATTATTCTGGGGGGCCTTTATAAATCTGTGCAGGAGAAAAACAATAAGTCATTATTCTAGGGGCGTTTATAAATCTGAGGTCAACATTAAGAGACGTCGGGATTTCCCTCCAATGCTACAGTAGACCATGCTAGAGCTGAGCTGTTTTGCATTCTCACGGGCCTTGGTGGATTTGTGGGCAGCGTCGGGCGAGGAGCGAGGAGATCTCAGGTGCCCAGCCATCTGAGGCGTTCCTCAGCGTTTTTCAGTCCATGACTCGCTAGCTCAGCCAAGCTGCGAAGCGAGGCAGAAAGGAAAAAGTCTTGTTTTGATTTGTGTAGTGGACAGAAAGAACAAAAGTTTGCGCCTCCAGAGGGGGCAGTTTATTTGTAAGCATTGCTGTTTATGGCCATCAGACGAGGGAAGCTTAGACAAAGGTATTTCATCTTCATGGTTTCCAGGCACTCTAGACTCTAGGAAACAGAAAACCGGGCAACATGTGCAAAATGGTGTCGCGGGGTTCATGCACTGATGGAGACCATAGCAGCCAATCTTCAAAGTTCGGGCATTGGAGATGGATCCCTTTGGTGATGCAAGCAGACTTTTTCCGACCAATTTATTTGTAGATGCTAGGGAACTTACGGACGTGGGTCCACACCAGGCCTAGGCTCGGGCCTGCTTGACCCACAGCCACATCAACTTGTACAAATTCATTTGACACGTTGAGTGAGGTCTTACACCTTGGCACATTTCATTGGCACGCAATTGGTTACACAGTTGTTGCAAATGAGTTGCCACGATCCTGAGCTTTTGGCAAGAGAACTGACGCCATAGTACAGACTCGTATAGACTAGCAGCTATAGAGTGTACTGTTTGGCGCTTTTGCATGAAGCATTCAGAGCAAATTCTATGCGGGGCCTCCGGGCAGGGCAACCATGCTTCCAAGAGCTCAAGTTGGGCAATGAAAGCAACGCTGCTGTGGTTGGTTGCAGCAGCGCCGCGTTTGGTGAAGTCGGGTGAAGTCCGCTGTTGAGCAGGTCTTTGGCAATCCCTCAGGGCCTTTGAGCTGGTCCTCCGTAGTGGAGCTAAGTCCTGCCAAAGGCGGTCTTTTTTCTCAGAAGCGCGCGCCCAAGGGCGGGGTGACCACGAACGCCCGCGATACTCACCTGTAGCCTGTTGGCTTTAATTTTGAGCATGTTGAGAAACAGATACTGGCATTATCATTTGTCAACAATATTGTATAATATATATATATATTTTTTTATTTATTTACTTATAGAATTACATATGCACATATATGCACACATACATGCTACATGCAGAACAACGGCGATATGATATGATACGAAAGCGTTCTGCAAACTTTTCTGGTACATTTTCGAGTTGCTTCCAGTTTACCCCGACCTCCGGCATCCGTCCATGTCACGCGTGACTTGTCCAGGGCAGTCAGTACTGAATCTGCCAGATTTGGAGAACAGCAAAAACCTCCTCCAAGCCCTCTCCTGGCTGTGACAAAAGGGTTTGGTCGATGATTTGCTTGGCTGATGCTTACAAAACCGCCCACCAGCCATGGGCTGCAGAGGGCTCAGCTTCCAGATCAACCTCTTCGAGTTAGACGTCTAGAGTCTAAACATGTCTAGACCTGGCCACCCAACCCCTCTTCGATGATAATTTATCATGATTCAATGATGATACAAACTATATTATGATGATAATTGAAATAATCATATGATGGTTTACGGAGTGTGTTGGTTCCACTTATCCTGAGTTGAGCAAGGCTACAAGACCTACAGAATTCAATAAGAGGCTTTCGAGGAAGATCCGTAGGAGGTGATCCGGTGATCTAGCCAAGGCGCTGATGTGGTTTCAGAGGCCGCGGCCTTGGTTCAAACGCCGTGAGATTTATAGATGAAATTATATTACTGTGTATATATATATATTGTTTTTTTGATTTACCCGGCATGCCGGGGCTATTGTCATGCCGCTGAAAAGTGTTTGAGACAGATGCAGCAATTTTGGCAGAGTTGCATTATATAGTTGGTTTGCGGCTGGAGTCATGATGCAACGGCTTTTTTTCTCACAATGGACTAATGCTATGTTAGCTGCGGGTGCTTTTGTCTTTGACTGATTGATGGCACCACCACATCTAATTTAACTACTTGTCAGGTTGTGCAGGGTTCTCCGGCTCAGGCCCATCATGGGCAAAGCTTGGAACAGGGTGAAGATCGGTGGGTATACAACAATGCCGAGTAATCACTCCACACAGCACACCGCGTCTTAAAAGGTATGCCCATTGAGCTTTTGTCAACGATGCAAGGACCAACCACAAGTCGAGGAGTCAGAGGCGGTTAAGAAGCTAGAGGCGAGATGGTGTGACCAGTGTTTCGTATCGGAGGTTCTTTGCGGGGCAAATCGCCAAATAAGCTTTTAGTGGAAAGCCTTGAGCCTTCACACTCCAGAGCAGGATGATGTGGAGCCTGGAGGAAACCCAGCGCAGTGATGTCCCAAATTGGACTTGTGGAGCGGCTGAAAGAGATCTAATTATACAGTGTTAATTATTATGCTCATGTATGAGCTAGGCTCAAAATTAGAGAAATTGACGAATAGTCGGAGAGTGGTCATGGGAGTTCAAAATGCATGTTTTGCTCAAAAACGATAACACACTCACCAAAAACGATAACGTGTCGGTTGTTAAAAAAAACGATAATACACTCACCAAATCCTGATGACCTGCAACTCCCCAATAAATGTTGACCAACGCTCATATGCTTCAGATTGTGCTTGCCCGCCATGCCACAATATTGTTTCTTGAAAGATTGGGCCCCCAAATGCAGGTTGTGGCTGAGAAGATCATTGAAGACGAGAAGACCTTACGCTTTATCGCAGCGCCACAGCCTGAGAGAGTGAAGGAGATCTGGCACCTTGGGGCCTATGGGGGGCGCCATAAGTTGTTTAATCAGTCTTGTCAGTCTTGTCCATCTAGTGATAGCTGGGGATTGATGGCTGGCCCCTGGCGTATCAAGATGCATCAAGACCTTCGGTTGCATTCGGTATTTTGCATCATGGTCCTTGCGGTTTCTCGCTTGCGAGACGCCACGTACGGTTTCGAAGCTGGATCGTGCTCGTTTGGGCTTGATGGCACGGAGCCATGCGTAGCGCTGCGGCAACAGTCCATAGTCACAGTCCTTTTGACCATGCTAGAGGGCTCCCAGAGTACCATTAGTGGCCGCGTACTGGTCCCCAGGCCGATCCTCGTGTTTGGGCCCCAGAAGACTGAGGTTGGCCTTGTGCTTTTCTCAAACCTGCTGGATTGTGTTGGGTGTTTTTGTGCTTGGTGTGGCCCAGGCGGGAGAACAATAAGGAGACAATGCTGCCACCTGTGAAACAGGCGGAAGTGCAGGTTGCTTGGGAGGAGCAATGACATGCTACTTGCTCCTCCAAGAGAGCTGCGGCCCCTTGTGGAAATCATTGCTAATTAATTTCGACTCCTGAGCCCGCATTATGTGGAGTCTTGAACAATACAAGCATAGCCAGCATTGTGGCAGGTGCAAGAGCTTGTGTCCCCTGACCTTTTCTTCATCTCGTCAGAGACTACCTTTGAACGCAGGAGCCTCAGGGAAGGTAGCTAGCTGGAGGCTGGAGGCCTGTGGTTTCAAGATGTTGGCCCACCTATGATTCAAGATGTTTGGTTCTTGCCTCAGTGCATGCATGACGGTTCAAGCTATGCCCGCTTTGCCCTAACAAGCGTCCCATCTCGAAACCTAGGTGTGTTTATCTTTGAAGGGCAGGTGTGGGTGGGTGGGTGGGTGGCGAGCAGATGTTGGGCGGTGAAATCGCGGGGCATCCACTTCACTATTGCAGGGGGTTTAGGAGTTTAGGAAGCTGAATGGTGGGGGGCTTCCAGCCATGCAACTGACTGCAACTGCTGATAGTATCTGGTATTATCTGGTGTGCATATAAATATATAACATTGCATAATCATTGTACATAAACTATATTTGTACACAATTTTGCCGCTGTTTTTCCCCAGGCGAGCCGGAAGTTTCGGGCACAAGGAGGTCAAACATATCACAAACTTCAGAATTGATTTAAGATTCTAGTAATAAGGGCATCGCTACTAGTAACTAGTAACGAAGTGCCGGACTTCCAGACAAAGCATATCGAGAGCATGTTGTTGACTGATCCAAACCGTGTGCAGGTTGCCGAGGATGTCGCCCCTGCGGACGCACTATCAGCCATGCAACAGCGTTTGGTGCGCACGGGCATGTGGAATAAGACCATACTGGTGTTGAGCAATCTTCTTCTTTCTAAAGACTTGCTTTGGCGGCGCTGTGCCACTGATGTGACTTTTCGCCGACTGCGACTTAAACCCTGCGCTTGTAGCTACCACTTCACGGCTGCAGTGTTTGACAGCGCGTTGCTGAATTCGTTTATAACGTGTCCGGACTGGTCAGGTTTCATCCGGACTGGACTCTGTTGAGCCGCTGCCCTGGGCAGACGCTGGAGACATTTGCATGAGCATTTTTTTGCTACTGTACCTCACTCCAACATACTAGCAATGGCCTCCAACCTAGAAGCGATGGCCTTTCCATGAATCTAGAAGCGATCACCCCCAACATAGCCTCAGGATTGTCAGCCTTGAGAGTCAAGTTGCCCAAAATCCCTAGAGGTGATTTTGCAACACCAAGCTCAAAGATTGAGGTTATTCTTGCAGCGATGCATTGAGCCCTCCAAGTTGGGACCTTGGGTCGGCGGGGACTGTGAGCATGCGACCGATTGCTTGGCTGAGGAGTGCGCTGCTGGTGATGCTAAAGGAAGACATGCCGAACAACGAATTTGCTTGGCTTTGACCTGAGGTCAGAGGTCTTTGAGGTTGGATTTTGCTTGGATCTCTCAATGTGGTTTACAAATTATGTATATATATATATGTCTGTGTGTGTGAAAAGGTGTGGAAAGGTTTTGGGCAGGTGTCTAGAAATCGAGTTGGTCTTACACACTGACAGAATAAGATCCCGTAAGCTTTTGCGTGGGATGCAAGGTGGCAATGGCTCCTTTGTGGTCTGGCCTTCTTGGAGCCTTGCTTAGCGCTTGGAGGTCCTCAGAATGGACAGGTTGTTGGGATATCTAGTCACGCTAAGGAACCCACCTGAAATCATGTCGATTCAGATTGATGCCGGAAAGCCTTGGCTCGAGCCTTTTGCCCGGGGAATGGATCCCGGAGGACTCGAGACTGAAAGACAGCCGCTAGACGGTTCATGCAAATGGGAAAGACCAACATTTGCATGGTCGTGGTCCATTATTGGCCCAGGTGTGAGAAAAACGGTCTTCAAATACTGTGTCATCCAACGCGTGTTTTTGTTTCATTTTGTTTCTTTTAATTTCTCTTTGTTTCGGAAAGGCTCCCTGTCCAGGTCTCCTCGTTTGTTTAGCTGACACTGATGCTGGCTGTCTACTTGTGGCATGCCAGTCAGGATCAAGGTATGGCTATGGCCTATTGCTGCTTCAGATTTGTCTCATCCCAGTACTCTTCATGGCACAAGATTTGACTGTGCGCTTGGGCATTTGCACTGGCAAAGGCCATAGTGCCTGCATTCGAGAGCATTTTGGTCCACGTTGGTGCTGGTTTGCTACCACCCTATTGCTGGTGGAGTGCGTGGTCGCTATGGTGTCGGAAATGAGTGGGGTGGCCGCTACAGGAAGGCTTTGGGGCATGAATCCACTTGTCTCTGTCGTGGTGGCCTCTTTTGTCATCATTGGGGCAGTGCTTGGCCTGTCGTATCGACAGAATCCTCGCCTCATCAAGTGTTGTCTTTCAGTCCCCAAAGTCGCTAGTAGGTTGGAGACCATCGCTAGTATATAGCCTCAGTCTATCATCTGCAATTTGTCCATCGAAGGATTGAAGTGATTGGTGTCACCTTGGGAGCCTTTGAGATGACCTTTCTCATCACCATGCTCTACTATCATCCCTCTGTGGGATCTATGCTCCAGGATGCATTGGACCACGTTGCTGATCCCGAATATATGAAGCTCATCTCTGCGAACATTGGAGCGGTCCCTATGCTCCGATTGAGAGCCGAGCCTTTGGGGCGGGAGTTGTACAGAATTAGACATGGTTCGGCAAGCTTAGGTCCCGTAGGCAGCAAGATTGACATGTGGTAAAGTCAACTGGTTTGAACCTGAGGTTGTAACGTCCATGTGGGCGAACATAAGCCAAGAAGGTCGTTGATCAACATGCACTAAAATAGTAATTTGGATAGCTATATTGGACATCAAGGTGATCATGCCGTGGATGATCTACTTTCAGCAGAGTGCTGTGGTTGCACGACGCATGCGCACCTGCACCGAGATGGACCAGGAAAGGACTGGAACTTTGGTTGGGAGCACCTAGGTGTCGAAGTTACAATGACAAACGCTCAGGAAAAGCGCATGATTACGCTACTGAGCATCACAGGGCTTCCAAGCAGGTGAGATCACTTGAGCATTGCTATTTGCTAATTGTTTGTCGTTCAAGAGGCACATTAAATCGGCATTTTTCTAAGTTCTGGGTTGTTCCGGTGGAGCCTCTGAGGCATCACGACGCAGCTCATTATGATTGGAGCACTGGTGACACTTGCAGCAGCAAAGTCCGGAAATCGAGATCTCAAAAGCATGGAGGAGAGGCCATGATGGAAGGGCGGGTTGAAAGGTTCCGAGCTCACCGAAAGAGAATGTCGAATGCCAGTGTCATTCGGGCCGCCAGAAGACCTGCTTGCGAATCTTCTGGCGCTCTGATGATTCGCCGCAGCACAGCGCGCCACTGCAAATGTCCCGCCGAACTTTGTACTCGCAGCGTATGCAGTATACGTGAAATATATACTGTAGGATATATAATGATATATATTATATATATGCATATAATGTGCAAAATAGCTTAAGGCGGCCTTTCTTTCACTAACCTACAGGGAGTTCTGAGCACTAAATACGTGGATGGGCGCCATGTCAATTGCACGGGTCCCAACATAAAAAATTTGTCACTGCCAGGAACTATTTAGAATCACCACAAAACCCCTCAATGTATGTTGTGTGCGCTTTCGACTGGACCGATCCCTTCTCTCCTTCGAACCTTCTCCGACCTGTTGAGCTCGTCATAGGTCACCTTGTAGCGAAAGCCTAAAGTGACATACATCATTGCTTGATGCTTTTCACTCACCTTGGTCAAGCTGTTTGCTATCATAGCCCCGCCATGAACCCAAAACAATCTTGTTTGACACTCATGAAAATGATCTCGCAATGAAATTGCTTCAATATCTGATCTCTTCTCAGCTCCCTTAATGACAACTGTTGCTCTGTGAAGTTTATCACATAAGTTCCGAGAATCGGTGATTTGTATTGCTGGTACTGAAGCTGCTGCGACATTAGGCTCTCTTGGATCCAATGGTCGTCCAGATATCTCTGACCACAACACACGAAGGTATAGAAGGTCATCTTCAGCATCCAGATTGGCCATTGTTTCTGCACAGGCTGGTGACCGGCACACCCGATCTATCTTGGCAGATCTCCAGAAAATTGGACTCACATCACGTTCCTGTCCCTGTGTGAACTGAGGATCGCTCATTCCAACAAAGATTCCTGCTGTTGAGTCCTTTCCGTTTGGACGGTTTGCAAATGCTGCATCCGCCCATACCACCATTGTCAAGTCGGAGCCCGGCTGAAAGCTGTGTATTTTGTATTCTTGTGATTTCCACTTGCGAACTGCTCTCACCAATGCATTTGTTTTGTTGACTGTTTCCACTGTTGCCACTGGTATTTCGGAGACTAGGAAATTTGTGTCAACAGTCAACAGAGAAAAGAAAGCATGTCTGTCCACACAACCACGACAAGCTTCCAAGCACACCCCGTAAACAACTCTTCTCCCGATCTGTTGCTGGCAACTGCGGTTGTCTAGTAATTGTCCAAAATGCCACATTGTTCAAATTCTTTGACCTCCCAGGTTCCCCAAGAAAATGCTGCTTGAAGCTGTGACATCAGTGATTTGTGGATTGGACAATTCTCATCTCCCCCAAACACGAAGTCGTCCACGTGTCCGTGAATCATGGATCGTACTGTGCCTGTGTCATCAACATAGATCCAACAACATGGTTCTGTCACCAACCTTTGGTATCCCAGTTTGTTCATGGTGTTGCAAACCGAGTTATACCATTGTAGAGGTGCTTGTACTAATCCGTATGCTGCTTTGGTCAACAACATTAATGTGTCTTGTGCTACTCCCAGTTCTGCACATATTTCTGGTAGTGGTCTGCACCATAAAGCTTCTGCAAGATCATCTCCCTGTAAAAATGCCCCAGAAACATATCCCTTCACTATTTGAAAACGTTTCCAAGCACGGTACTGGAAAAATAATTGTCTTCCTGCTTTGCTAGGTGTTGGTGCTGCCGTCTGATGGAACTGGTACCTTGGGTCTTGATAGCCCAAAATGATTGCTCTTGCTTTTGCCTTGCGGCCCTCCTCATACTTGGGATCGTATTTCCATGTGAGCAGCCATCTCATGCC